CGCCGGGGGGGGGCCGGGGGGGGGGGGGGGGGGACAGACCGCTGCGGCCGCCCCCAAGTGCGGACGGGGCCCAAGTTGTCGCGGCCAGGGGTCCCGCGTGGGGATCCCCAGACAAAGGAGGGTTCAGGCCCCCGCCCCGGGTTCACAGTTCTCACGTCCCCCTCTCCAGAACCGGTCGGCGCCGCGGGGGCGGCCCCACCTGCGCCGCTCTGCACCCCACACCCCGGCCCCTCGGCCCCCCCACCCCCGAGTCAGGCCCTCCCCGCCCGGGGAGCGCGCCGCCGCTCTGGAAGGAGCCCGTGAGGTAGCTTAAGTCTCGTCCTCATCTCTCCCGCCCCGGGCGCGCGACAGTGGGAGGCGGGGGGCGGGGCCGCAGCCCGAAGCCCCGCCCCGCGGCCCCGCCCTCTGCCCGTACCATTTCCCCCCCCGCCCCCCCCCCCCCCCCCCCCCCCACGACCGCCCGGGAAAGCCCGCTCGGCCCCGCGCCCCGCCCCGCCCGGCGCACCGCTGCCTCCGCGCTAGGCCTTCTTGCACTTGCCCTTCTTCTCGCGCTGCTGGAACTTGCGCAGCCGCCGCGCCCACGTGTCCCGCCACTGGATCACCAGGCTGCTCTTGTCCGCCACGATGCCGCTCTGGTCGGGCGAGTCCTCCGCGTTGCCCAGCAGCAGGTACTTCTTGAGGGGCTTGATTTTGGGACACTTGCAGGCGATGTCCCGCGAGCGGATCCACAGGCTCTGGTCACCGCGGCGGATGCGGCTCGCGCCCTGCTTGTACACAGAGATGATGTTCACCGTGAACTTCCACCAGTCCCCTGCCTTGTCCGCCTTCAGGATGTGGATCTGGACCGCTGCAAGGAAGCACAGGCGGGAGAGTGGGCCCCGGGGCCGAGCAGTGCCGCCTGGGCACCCCCCCAAAACCCCCGGTTCCTGTGGTCAGGTGACCCCTGCCTGCTCGAGCCCTCTCGAAGCCGAGGACCGGGCAGCCGTTCTGATGGAGAAGGCACAGCTGGGAAGGGACGGCACGGGGTACCCCACTGGGGCACCCGTGGGTGGTGCCTAAGCTGATCCTGGGAACCCCACCTGCCAACGCCTGGACCGGGCCGCTGCTCCAACAGGCCTTACTCATGCCTGGGTTGAAGCTCTGCGTTTGGGGACAAGCCCCCTGTGCAGGGCCAGAAGAAGCTTACAGGAACTGACCGCCCCGCCTCCCAGCACTCTGGGCTGAGTCCGCCTGCCCAGGACAGGTGCCCTCTGTGAGAGCAGCAACCATCACTCCCTGCAGGCTGGGTGGGAACCTCCTTAGTGCCCCCCCCACCTCCCGCCGTGGCATTTCCAAAGGCTCCGAGCACTTAACATCAAGCCTCACGGCACCTCCAGACACACCACCTTGCCCTTGACCCAGTCTCCGAAAACCATGATGGGATCTCAGTGCCAGGTGCAGAGTACCATGAACCTGCCCTTCCAGGTGGCCGTGGCACCCCTTCCAGAGTCCAGGGTCCTGGTACTGCGCCCCCTCCCTCCTGACCCTCTCCAATTACCCAGGCCATTCCCCTGCTAATTCTCCACCGAAACGTCCCCTGGTACAGGGGTTCTCCGCTGGAGCCTGCATCAGAATCCCCCGGAGGGCTTGTCAAGCACACATTGCTGGGCCTCAATCCAGAGTTTCTGATTCAGCGGATCTGGAATGATCCCCCAGAGTCCACCTCTCTCACCAGTTCGCAGGTGGTGGTGCTGCTGTTGTTCCAGGGAACACAGTTTGAGAATCAGTGCCCTAGTGAATGTTAATAAATGTCATTTCTGCAGGATATTAGGAGGTATTTTAAAAGTAGGAGGAAATGCCTTTTAAAAGAAAAAGAGGGGGCGCTTTGCTTAGATGGGTTTGTGAAATTCTGGGTTAAAATCAAGAGGTTTCCGTAACTGCAGGACTTTTCAGGGCCTTGCATCTACAAATCGTGCGTGTGTATGCATGTGTGTTGGTTTCCCAAAAAACTCTGAGTGCAGGCCTCTTGGGCTAGTGCCTCTTGAGTTAGCAGAGCTCCACGGGGCCCAGTTTGGGAACTGCTGGGGGGACACATAATCATTCCAGGGGGTAAAGGGAGAGGTCTCTGCTGCACTGACCGACCAAGGAAAACCTGGTCATCTTCCCCATCCCCACAGTCATGACAGGGCACGCTGCCCTTGCTGAGCTCGCCGGCCACCCCCCCCGCACCCTTCACCCCTGGACCAGGCTGAAGATGGCCCTGGCGGACGAGTGGACTTGAGCCCTCCTGGAAAATGAGCAACAGCTCGTCTCTCCAGATGACACCTGAAGAAACCGAGCCGTGGGCCAGCTCAGCGGCTCCAACAGCCACGAGGACATGTCCCCGGGGCATGCTGAGCGGTCATCACCTGCCCGCTTACGGCCCGGCCTGGCCACCCATGCCGGCCAGCCTCTCTCACGGTCCCTGGGGCCCACCCCGCCACCTTCCCTCCCAGGGCCCTCCCTGCTGCTCCCCTTCTGTCCCCACGCTTGGCCCGTGATGCGGGAAGGTTCGGGAACGGCGGGACCCAGGGGCGCGTCCGCCACCCTCCTGCTCGTCCTTCTGGGGTGAGGGATGCAGCAGATTTTCCCATATTCCATTTCAGCCATTCCTGGGCATCCTGAACTTTGCACTCCAGTCTGAGGGCTCCAAAGAATGGCTGCCATGGCAACCGTTTCCATGTTTTTGTCACCAAGGGACTCAACACTCAGTGTGAACTCTGAGGTGGGGTGGGGAGCCCTCTCCAGCTCGCAGAAGTAGGCTGGGCCGTGTGTTTGTGCACACGGAGGTCACCGTGGCAACTGAGTGCCCCTCGGCTAAGCGACGGGGGAGCCGGCGTCCCTGAGAACCCCGGTTTCCTCTCCTCAGGACTGAGCTGAATGCAGAATGAGGCTCCGTCAGGATGCCACTGTTTCCCTGGGTGGGATCTCAGACCCCCGGCCCAGCCACGGGGCCCTTCCCCCATCCAGCCGGGGTGGGCAGGGGGTGGCCCCGCAAAGATGCTGCAGAAGGCGCCGGGGGAACGCGGCTGTGACCCCAGGCACTGAGCGTCTCGTGGTGTGACAGGCTGAGCCGTGTCTCCCGGCCCCAGATTTCGTAGGATGAGGTGCGAACCCCCCAGGACCTGAGGATGTGCCCATATTCGGAGACAGGGTCATTACGGAGGTCATGGAGTTCAGAGGAAGTGATTAGAGGGAGCCCTAATCCAATATGACTGGTGTCCTCGTGAGAAGAGGCGATCAGGACGGACACACAGACACACAGAGGGAAGACCCCATGAGGACACAGCGAGAAGCGGCCGTCTGCAAACCGAGGAGGGGGGCCTCCGGAGAAGCCACATGCGGACACCTCGATCTCAGACTCCCGGCCTCTGGAACCGTGAGACAATAAATTTCTGTTGTTTCAGCCCCCAGGCTGTGGTGCTTGGTTCTGGCAGCCCAAGCAAACTTGTACGGTTGGAACTGGGGGCTCAGGCTCTTGGGTGTCAGCCCAGAGCCAGGCGGGAGGGCAGCCCTGGTGAGGTGGGCCAGCCGGAGAGAGTTAGCCGGACCCGGTCAGGCCCTGGGCTGGCCCTTCTTACTCTCTGGGGCTGCAAGAACGTGGCCCCTCACACAGCAGGAGGACTGGAGACCCCTGCCCCACCTTCCCGGGGCTGGAGTTTCCCTCCCCTGAAGGAATGTTCTGGAACACCAGGCAGGGCATCTGAAGCAGCCCCACCCCCACCCCACTTCCCCAGGCCCGGCCAGTACAGGCCTGGAGGGGGGCCGCTCAACACTGAGGATGCAGCCCAAAGGCGTACCCCACCCCTGAACACCTTGCCGTCCCCGAGAATCCAGGGGCCAGAGCAGGGCACACTGGTCCAGTGGGACAAAGCAACAGTCCCTGTCCTCCCTCCACCCCAGCAGCTCCCGGCGGCTCCCGGGCCTTGGAGCCGGACGGCACGGGCGGGCGCAGGGGCAGGGGAGGGTGGTGGTAGAATTCATGTGATTATGCTGGAAAAAATCCGCAGTTCCGCTGCCCTTGGCAACGCCTCCGCACATTACACAGCCCACCAAGTATGAGCCGCACACGCAGTGCACGGGCCAAGTCCCTGCCGTGCACATACAGCTGAAAATATTCAAAATACACACTGAAACAGTGACCTCAGGCAGACCCACTCCGCACGCCTGGGGGCCGCACCCGCCACAGCGTGGCGCGGGAACGGCCGCCACCTCTGCCGGGCCTGTTGGCCGGGAGCCCGGGATGGCTGGGGTCTCCTGGGGGCCCGTGGCAGCGCCCACCAGGCACGCCAAGCACAGGCAGCTCTGCCCATCTGAGCACCACGATCCCTGCGGGCGTGCCCCTTAGACCCACGACGACACTCAACACCAGGCCAATGAGCCTCAGCCACCCCCCACCCCCGTCTGTGCACCGATGTCCTAGCTTGACCCCCAGGAGGGCAGACAGGGGGGCCCGGTGAGCATCCCCCATCCCGTCTTCAGAAATGAGGAAGATGACCCTGAGAAAGGCAGCCGGAGATAGACCAGGACGGGAAGAGGCATGCGGGGACCAGCCAGAGGGGTCCCTCTCTGACATAGAGACCAGGCAGTGGCCGCGCCGGGGAGCCTGGCCCCCAGGCTGCTGGCGCTTCGGGCCCCTCTCTCAGCGATAAGCGGCTGCATCTCGGGGTCCATACCGTGAACGCCATCCCTTACGCTGAGCCCTTGCTCACCCCCCAAAATGAGGGCTCAGGCTGCAAGAGAGTTGCGCACCCGGGGCCTGGGGTCCTGCTCTCCGCCCGGACAAAAGCAGGCATTGTCGGGGGGGGGGCTGGAGCCCACGAGGCAGGATGGATGAGGTCAGCTCCCCCCCCTCCCCACCGTGGGCACCTCTGAGCAAAGCTGCAGAACGGGGCAGATGCCCGTGGAAAGGCAAAAGGAGAGAGCTCACGGGCTCCGGCGAGCGAGGAGCGGACCTCCGCGGCCCAGGTCCTAGGGGCCAGGCTGCACTCCTGGCCTGGGAGCCCTCACAGGGGCAGTCGGCTGCACTGCTCCGATAACAAGGCGGCAGGCGGGGCGGGGCGGCAGCCACCCCCCCCCCTTAGCAATCCCGGGGTTCACAGGAAGGACTTATCAGCCCCCAGGGCAGGGCTGTGACGACTGACTTCTCTTAATCCCAGCCTGCTGCTGGGCTGGCTGGGGGCATGCACCTCTCCATCCCTTGGCTGCAGGGCTGGCCGTGACTCCGAGCAGGTGAGAAGCCCCCCGAGGGCCAGGCCCACCAAGGCCACAGTCAGCAAGAAGGGCCTGTGTCGGAGGTGGGCGGGGGGCTCGGAGGCAGGCCCAGGGCAGGCGGGGTGCCTTGGCCAGCGCCGGGGGTCCTCTCGGCTGCTGGGTGGGCAAGGCCCCCCTATGGCCTATAGGAGTAGAGCTTCCTTCCAGGAAGCCTCCACCTCTATGGGTCCCAACGCTCGGAGACTCTCAGGCCACCAAAGGCAACCTAAAAAGTCAGAAGCTCCGGGTCCTGTGCTTGTCCGCTCCGTCCGGAGCTCCCGTTCATGCTGAGCCTCCCTCCCCAGCTCCAGCCGTGACCCAAGAGACTCAGAGCCTGTCAGCTCCGGGCCCTCGGAGGACCTAGCACGGCCATCTTCCTGGGACAGTTAGTGACAGGAAGTAGCTCCAAGCCGACTTATGTCCCTGCTGGTAGGTTTTGGGGACCCACTGCTGGCATCAAAGCTCTCGTCCTGGGCCGGGTTCTGGGAAAGCTGTTTGCTCCGTGAAGAGTACACAGTTGCTGCTCATTCATCTGCTGGCTCAGCCCGAGACAACCTGCTGGGCCGGGCCCTAGGG